ATGGATTACGAATGCAGACATAATCGTCAACAGAAAAAGAAAAGATGCTCTCAGAGGTCACCCACGTTCAGTCAAAATTTGGGAGTTATAATTTTATGTTCTGAACCTTCCACATTCCCCTACAAAAATCCATACTGAGCCCTGATCAAAACGACTCGTACTTACCTTACCAGTAACATTCTTTTGAGAACATTGGTATAATCCCTATTTGTGTCCATTCAAAGAATGAATGTTTTCAGTAGCATTATATATATACGAACTACGAATTACGTAATCGTACAGTTTTGCATTTCCATTGCACTTTCACAAGAAAGGTGTCTAGTTTACGTATGGCTTTGTTAAACAGGAAATGAAATGAACCTCGCAGTAATAAAATGAAAACTAGTATAATCTACAACGCCAAGTCAGCGATTACAAAGATTGTACAAATCGATTTAGAATTAATTAAAATATCAAAAATATATACGTAATGTCCGTGTATCATATTTTCAATGGCTACCTTTGTGGCGACCTGAAGGCGCAATCTTTGGGTGGGAATGAATAATATAGTAGTCAGCGTAGGAAAAATAAGAGATTATAGTTTATTGATAATAGAGCCACTCAAACCGGCAGGGAACCCTTCAAAGTATCACTTACTCGTGTCTTGGTTGTTGTGAATGATTTATTTAAAAAACTATAGAGCTGAATAGGTCACTTCAAAAAAAATATAGCAAACATTGAATTCGACGATCATGAGCGGTTTGTGAGAATTTCGCAGCGCCACCAACGGCTGGGATTTTTTTTTACGTAAATCAAAAACAAAATTCAAAAAAGCGATTTGGCAGATGCTAGTGTGTCTGATAAACAAGAATGTTTTGACCTTCTCATTTAACTTTGTTAAATAATGTGAAATTGACGAAAGCATTAACTTGTAAAATAAAGTGAAATGTACTACCGACGAGACTGATGCATAGCAGAGTGACATTATAATGTATAATCCATATTTCCACATGCCGTGTAGAATATTAGATCTACGATAATACCTACCTACCTACGATAGGCTACCAACGCCCAGTTATTACTAGTAGTGTGTATCATTTTGATGGCGTAACAACACGAGTGGTGGTTGTGAGATAACGTCGACAACAGTAAGTCATCAAAAACTTCACTGAATGTTACTGAACTTTCTGTTTGTTCAAGCAGTAAATCGCCGTTACGATGTGTGATCGAATCTAACGAATGGTCAGACATTCTCAGCCGCATGGACGGTAAAAGTATCCGATATCCGAATTTGTTTGTTTCCAAATTGTCCACAAAGTTGGCAAACACACAAAAACAATGATTTACCTAGCCTACAGACGAACTGACAATTTTATATTTGGCAAAATTACTTGTTCCTAACTTTTGTATATAGTAAATCACCGTTATTTCTACCATGCCTGTAAACACACAGAGCGTCTTGTACAATATTTATTAGGCATTGACACTATCACCAAGCAGATTGCAACAAGAAACACGAATTAAACATCAACATTGCTTCTTTAACAATTGTCTTCTTTATTACATCGATTTTTTTTTTGTTTTTAAGAAAAAATTTTTTTGACACGTATACAGACACAATTTTTCTATTTACCGATTCATGCTTCTATTGGTAACGACTTGTCAAATCACAATAAATTTATTTGCATACAAGTCATAAGAATACCGTATCCCACACTGCACCGTGAGCCAGACGATCCAAGCACTATCTCTACTTTAACGCATGACAAACAAAACATGGAGTCTCATATTTTGACCTCGACTAAATACTACCTTGAATTGAATGTTATTACATTGGATGTGTATGCTCCATTTGGCATATTTTAGTGTTGTGAAAATTACTATTTCGATATCATATTTGTGCAAATATGATATCTCAGGTTTTCTAAAACCACGTAGATTGATTATTTGAGATGTACTTGATTTTATTAATGTTATGTACGATTTCAGGTGAATGATTCTATTCCTTGATTCAAGATTTATTGCCCATAACATTAATTTTATAATTAATGAAAATCTTTTTCTCTGATTTTATATGATTATTTGATTCATTATCATTATCGTTAATATGGCATATTACAGAGTCCTTTTACACACTTAGAACATTACTACACTTTGTCGTATTTCAATTTTCCAATGAAGGAATCAAATACCACAAAAAACAGAAACGGTTAGTTACAATTTGACACCTGGCAGGGAGACATAGCCCCAACCCGTAAGGGGCGTAATACATGCTGTGTGTGTGGGGGAGGGGTGTTGGGGGGAGGGGGGTTGGGTGTGGGTGGGGGTGGGGGGTGGGGGTGGTGGTGTGTGTGGGTGGGGTGTGTGTGATTTACTGACAAACAACTAGACCGGCCCTTATATAACTACCTCTTCAAAATCAAGCAACCAATCTTAAACCTGTAGAGTTCTATTCACAACGATCTACCAAACTACACAAAACCACGCACATCATCTGCCGTTATTTAAAAAAATTCCAACACATTGCTGAATTTGTATTCAGACATTGTTATATTATTATAAAAAGTAGTTACATTACATAGTTGCCTTGAGTTATCATGTTTAGAAAATAAATTTGAGCATACGGCTTCAGAACTGCATTCATTGAAACAACATGGCCACCAGTGAGCCATTTTAATATGATCTGAAAAACAGATAGCCACCAAAGTCTTATAGTGTCTGGTAGTTGTGTGTCCTAGATTAAACGAAATCTTTCCATACACAGCAGAGATCCGGTTCCAGAATGACAGAAATGCTTGATTTTGACGAGTTTTCAGCGCAAAATAAATATTGATGATCCAATCGCCCAACAACTAACGTGATTACAGACACTTTGTCAATGAAGTCGGACAACAGTTTTTACAAGTCGACTCTTCTAGCACACACAGATAACACACAGATAGCACACAAATAGCACACAGATAACACACAAATAGTACACAAATAGCACACAAATAGCACACAGATAGCACACAGATAGCACACAGATAGCACACAGATAACACACAAATAGCACACAGATAGCACACAGATAGCACACAGATAGCACACAGATAGCACACAGATAACACACAAATAGCACACAGATAACACACAGATAGCACACAGATAGCACACAGATAACACACAAATAGCACACAAATAACACACAAATAGCACACAAATAGCACACAGATAACACACAAATAACACACAGATAGCACACAAATAGCACACAAATAGCACACAGATAACACACAAATAGCACACAGATAACACACAAATAACACACAAATAGCACACAAATAGCACACAGATAGCACACAAATAGCACACAAATAGCACACAGATAACACACCATTGCGATGTGAGATGCATTTAGTACATATGTGGATCAGTGCTCATAAAATTATTCGCTAATGGGAATTCAGAATAATGTTGTTTTTATTTGCTTATATGAACAAAACATTTGGCAAAATGCGATATCATAAAAATATATGCGTAATATTCCGCATAAATGCGACAAATGATTTTACTTGCGATAGTGAAAGACATCACTCGATACCCGTGATTGTGGGTTCTTTTTACCCGTTAATATTGATATTGTAGTGTATGCTATCAAATCTACTGATCTAACTATTGCAGCTTAAACTTCTGAAATTTATCACGTGACCAATAATGCTATTATAATAAAACTTGTATTTTGTGATGCGGAAATAATCTTGTATGACAAAAACCATTATCGCTTTATATAATTTAAATATTACTTGACCTGAACAACAAGAATTTTGACATTGTCACGAGGTTGAATGTTATTTTGCACGAACAGTCCTGTCCAGACACCACTCAATACTCGTGATAGTGGGTTCTTGCTACCCGTCAAGGTCACATTGGACCTCTCAATAAATAACCGGATTAATCTTACTGTGGATAACAGTCATAGTATAGTGGACACGGGATGTGACGTCACTCGCATACAATCTAAAAACACTATATTGAGAAAATAATAGATTTAATATACTTATAAGCAAAATACCACGTACAATAAATAATTCACTTCCAAACAATACAATCAATAATAATAAATACTACCACATCCTCTGAAATTCCCTACAATTATTTGAGTTTGGCTTCCATCAGCGACCAGCTATAAAGCTTTCTTGGTCAGCCTGCATACAGTATTGCCCGAGACTCTGGACCATGACCCACTTACATGACGGTCATCAAGGAAAGAATGCCTCTGCATGTGCTCCCGTGCATGTGCTAAAACGCCGTATTATGTTGGAGGTATAGATCTAATGAAAGCTTATAATAGAGCGTAATGAAAACTAGGCTAGTGATTTAGGTATTCTTGAAGATATGACGTCATAAGATCTTGATACTATTTCATTTCACTTAAAACGATGACTTACTAGTAGTTGCTGCGAAATATTATCACCACTAATTAAAATAGGTTAATTACAATTATTCCCTGGTTAAATAGATCACTAACATTTTCTCTGAAGAGTGGTCGTTTTATTTCTATATTCAAACAATTTGTTTAAATTTAGGAAACATGTTGAAAATGAATGAAACCTCATCATTTAGATGACTTTAAACACGTGTGTAGCCTATGGATACCATCCACTGGTAAAATGATCAAGGTATCTATAATTACTATCTAATCTCATTGCTGTGCTTGTCATTTCCAGACGTGGTAATATTTCTAGATGGTGACCGTGACATATAGGGACCATAGTCTATCATCTCCGTGCTTGGTCCACTTATCTCATACGATATCGCGTGATGTTACTTATACATGACATCGCACATCGGCTTAGTTTAGACACTAAATTATTTATTATTATTATTATTATTCGATTAATAATTATGGTATATTTTAAGTGGTTACCGATGTTATCGGAGGTTTATTTAAATATATTTAATGCAATCAAACGTACTCGCGCTAGTCGCGCAACTTGTGAACGACCCTTTGCCCCCTGCACCTTGCCCTGGTTTTATTGTTTAACAACGCGTCTGGAAAGCTGCGGTCCACTATTCCAAATCCTGACGTTGAATTGTGTGAATGAAAATGACTTCTGCTGGAATGAAACTGCGGGGCAAGGTTGCCGTTGTTACAGCATCTACAGACGGGTAAGTTACTAGTTTTATTTGTAGGCAACATAGCAGTATTTATTATGTTGGGTATTTTGTATAGTAGTCGTTGTTCATTGATCATAGCCCATGAATCCCGCTCGATCAGGTGCACGTGTTTACTATTCGCCGTAGATATAACACTACATTACATCCTCTGATCCCCAACAATAAAGATGGCGGGTATTCTGGTATAAATCAAATTTTCTCGTATCAGCCTCTCCCACCCCCAGTAGAAACAACAATGATATCTGCACAAACGTGTGTGAAAAAAATGTATTTTGTATCTGTGTATTGGCACACCAGACGAGAGTGTTGGAAACATGTTTACGTACTAAACTAGTGACTGTTATAATGCAATGTAGCGCTTCGGGTCAATTCAGAACTCAAGTTCGGCAGATTTCACAATTATAAATTTTATAAAGCTCACGGCATCTTGAATGCCAAATGAATTAGTAAAATGGGGTCAATACATTGTTAAATGGAACACATTTGAGAGAAAACACCATCGAGATAAAGAACAGTTCATTGACCTATGGTCTTTTGCCTCTTTTATGCAACTCATGTATCACATTATACATTACTCCTGGATACTATTACCACCATTACCTTAGATACCCAACATGCAGCAATTGTCTCCATATTGTACGATAAATGGTTGAAATGGATTACCATGCCAACATCCTTGCCATTTACAGAGCACGTGTTGTTGTTGTTGTTGTTGTTTTTCAAGCGCCTTGGTATAACACATGTGTTTTTATGTAGGACTCAGTAACAACATATAATATATTATACACTCTTTTCTACAGGATTGGTTTTGCCATTGCCAAGCGATTGGCAGAAGATGGTGCCAGTGTTATGATAAGTAGTCGTAAGCAGGAAAATGTTGACACAGCATTGGCTAAGTTGAAATCTGAAAATCTGACAAAAGTTGCTGGAGTTGTTTGTCATGTCGGTAAAGAAGACCATAGAAACAAAATGATACAGGAGGTAGGTTGAATGGGACCTAGCTTATCAGACTTTGTCAATTACCGTAATTACATTCACATCCCAAATTGTGTAACTTTTTTTTCCAGACCTTGAAGCAGTTTGGAGGAATTGATATATTGGTGTCAAATGCGGCAGCTAATCCATATTTTGGATCACTTTTAGAAGTGAGTGTTTCTATTTTTTCGACAGTACACTATTACATTTGAATTATGTAGCAAATTTGAGATTGTAAGTCGATTTATTATAGCTGAAAGTTTAAAATGTTCAAGATTCAAAGTCATTCCATTATATATATGTAACATTCAACTAATTACATTTACATACCAATAACAGTGTGGTCATTCGTATACAGATAGACACATCAATTTAATAACACTTCAACAACGATATTGATAAACAATACTAATTTG